TCCGTGTCTTCTATAATACCCTCTGAGACCAGTTCACCCTCAGTATCTACCCCATGAGCTGTGAACTACCTAATAAACACCCCCCTTACCCCCAAACAAATTCCAGCTTCAGCACCCGAGGCTGTCCCCTCTTCTGCCTACCCCTCGGCCCGGCCTAGATTGCCCCCCACTATGCACCGACCATAAGACGCACCGACCATAAGACGCACCGACCATAAGACGCACTGACCTGGGCTCAATCTTCTCACTGGAGGAGGATCGGATCATACTGTTCTGCACCTGCTGGAACTGGAAGACAGAATGACACAATCACCCGAAATCTTCTCTGTACAACCCCACAGAGGGGGGAGATCTCCCCGACAATGGCAGCCGGTGACAGACCTGCCCTCACCTACAACACTGCTCAACCCCTCTCACTATCCTGGGTGATGTTACTTATATAGAAACATGGAGGACGGAAAGTTCTTCTACCAGAGAAAACCCTGAAAGCTCCTCAGTGGCTGAGAGTTTGTCTCATGTTTGGAAATCTCTGTTCTCATTCTGGATCCAAGTTCCCCTCCGCACAGCCCAGAAATGGTCACAGATCATACTGAGATTTTATATGGCCCCTCCCTCTCTAACGCATCAACTTCCTCTGACTGGGCTCCTCATTGGGCTCTTCCTTGTCCCCATCCCTCCTCGCGTCTCTCCGATTGGGTTCCTTACAACCCCCATCTCCCCTCATAGTCCCCTCAACCCGCTCCTCATTGTCCCCATCTCCCCTCACTATCCCTCACAATCCCCATCTCCCCTCACCATCCCTCCAATTGGTTCCTCACAATCCCCATCTCCCCTCACCATCCCTCCAATTGGTTCCTCACGATCCCCATCTCCCCTCACCATCCCTCCAATTGGTTCCTCACGATCCCCATCTCCCCTCACCATCCCTCCAATTGGTTCCTCACGATCCCCATCTCTTCTCATCCTCCTCTGACTGATCTAACCCTCTCCCATCCCTCCTCACCTCTCTCATGGGGTTCCTCATAATCCCCATCTCCCCTCACCGTTCCCTTTACTGGCTCCTCATTGTGCCCATCTCTCCTCACCTCTCTCTGATGGGATTCCTTTTCTCACCCTCCTCTGACTGATCTAACCCTCTCCCATCCCTCCTCACCTCTCTCTGATGGGGTTCCTCTTCTCACCCTCCTCTGACTGATCTAACCCTCTCCCATCCCTCCTCACCTCTCTCTGATGGGGTTCCTCTTCTCACCCTCCTCTGACTGATCTAACCCTCTCCCATCCCTCCTCACCTCTCTCTGATGGGGTTCCTCTTCTCACCCTCCTCTGACTGATCTAACCCTCTCCCATCCCTCCTCACCTCTCTCTGATGGGGTTCCTCTTCTCACCCTCCTCTGACTGATCTAACCCTCTCCCATCCCTCCTCACCTCTCTCTGATGGGGTTCCTCTTCTCACCCTCCTCTGACTGATCTAACCCTCTCCCATCCCTCCTCACCTCTCTCTGATGGGGTTCCTCTTCTCACCCTCCTCTGACTGATCTAACCCTCTCCCATCCCTCCTCACCTCTCTCTGATGGGGTTCCTCTTCTCACCCTCCTCTGACTGATCTAACCCTCTCCCATCCCTCCTCACCTCTCTCTGATGGGGTTCCTCTTCTCACCCTCCTCTGACTGATCTAACCCTCTCCCATCCCTCCTCACCTCTCTCTGATGGGGTTCCTCTTCTCACCCTCCTCTGACTGATCTAACCCTCTCCCATCCCTCCTCACCTCTCTCTGATGGGGTTCCTCTTCTCACCCTCCTCTGACTGATCTAACCCTCTCCCATCCCTCCTCACCTCTCTCTGATGGGGTTCCTCTTCTCACCCTCCTCTGACTGATCTAACCCTCTCCCATCCCTCCTCACCTCTCTCTGATGGGGTTCCTCTTCTCACCCTCCTCTGACTGATCTAACCCTCTCCCATCCCTCCTCACCTCTCTCTGATGGGGTTCCTCTTCTCACCCTCCTCTGACTGATCTAACCCTCTCCCATCCCTCCTCACCTCTCTCTGATGGGGTTCCTCTTCTCACCCTCCTCTGACTGATCTAACCCTCTCCCATCCCTCCTCACCTCTCTCTGATGGGGTTCCTCTTCTCACCCTCCTCTGACTGATCTAACCCTCTCCCATCCCTCCTCACCTCTCTCTGATGGGGTTCCTCTTCTCACCCTCCTCTGACTGATCTAACCCTCTCCCATCCCTCCTCACCTCTCTCTGATGGGGTTCCTCTTCTCACCCTCCTCTGACTGATCTAACCCTCTCCCATCCCTCCTCACCTCTCTCTGATGGGGTTCCTCTTCTCACCCTCCTCTGACTGATCTAACCCTCTCCCATCCCTCCTCACCTCTCTCTGATGGGGTTCCTCTTCTCACCCTCCTCTGACTGATCTAACCCTCTCCCATCCCTCCTCACCTCTCTCTGATGGGGTTCCTCTTCTCACCCTCCTCTGACTGATCTAACCCTCTCCCATCCCTCCTCACCTCTCTCTGATGGGGTTCCTCTTCTCACCCTCCTCTGACTGATCTAACCCTCTCCCATCCCTCCTCACCTCTCTCTGATGGGGTTCCTCTTCTCACCCTCCTCTGACTGATCTAACCCTCTCCCATCTCTCCTCACCTCTCTCTGATGGGGTTCCTCTTCTCACCCTCCTTTAACCCTCTCCCGTCTCTCCTCACCTTCCTCTGATAATCTCTCTGTTGGCTGAACTTGTCTACGATTCTCTCCACCTGCCGGTCACACTCGGCCTGCAGATGTTTGATGAGCATGTACAGCCTCCCGGGGCCGTAGTACGTTTCCAGTATAGGTTGGTGAGTCTCCACTATCCGAGCAATACCTGCAAGAGAGGACAAGCGATGGATCAGAATGTTTGCCTCACCATGCCAGGCGCCGGCTTTCCCTTTGCTATAAAAGCTTTTGTCCCGGAGACTAACCTTCAAAAAGCAGTGTGAGCGTGTCTGAAAATAGAAGTGCCGCTCTCCTCTCGTGGCTTTCAGAGCTCAGGGCCAGGGACAGGTTCTCTTCAGCTTTCTTGCCCACCTGCAGAATGCAGAGATCAGGCTCAGGGTAATGCAGAGACAATGCACATCAATAAACAAGAGTTGTCCAAATGCTGGTGGGTCAGTCAGAGGGGGAACCTTAACATGGCAGTATGTGCAGAGGAAGCCATGTTCTACTGGCGGTTCATGTCCAATGCACATGTGACACACCTGGAGGAGGAGCTGGAGGTCTCAGGACCCAGAGACAGCAATATGGGCCGGAGAGGGATCACATATAATATAAATTCATTCATCCGGGTTCTCCTCACACATTATCCAATCTCAGGTCTGGACAAGCCTAGTCCTTCTAGTATCCAACCTCAGACCATGACTCTGGACTAGTCTAGTCCTTCTAGTATGTAATCTCAGACCATGACTCTGGACTAGTCTAGTCCTTCTAGTACACAATCTCAGACCATGACTCTGGACTAGTCTAGTCCTTATAGTATCCAATCTCAGACCATAACTCTGGACTAGTCTAGTCCTTCTGGTATCCAATCTCAGACCATGACTCTGGACTAGTCTAGTCCTTCTAGAAAACGACTAACATGATACGGGAGACCAGACATCGGAGGGTTACCTGGCGGCACAGGTACGCAGAGAACTTGCTGATTCCCTCCTCGTGCAGTCCGAGCAGTGGAAAGATCTTAAAGAACCTCTCCACCTGCGGCAGGTCTCCGGCTTTGGTTGCGGCGTCAAACTTCTCTGTGACCAGAACCTTCAGCTGCTGCTCGGCCTCCTGGAGGTGCTGAAGATTGGCTTCGATCATGCTGCCTGAAACCAGAGCGACCGCATGTTACCGCAGACCGGAGCCATTGCGCACATTCAGAGACACAGAGCGCCTCATTTATCAAAGTGTCTGAAAGAGGCTCCAGTACGAGAAGAACGCCAATCAACCCTCCCCGAGACCTACAGAAACGGGACTCAACAAGAGGGTGTCACCAATATGGTCTCAGACACCCAGGACCTCAAGACCGCCGTACATATATATACATCCCGGCGGTGCACACTGTGTGACCAGAGATGGGCGGAGTGAGTAATCAGTGACTGCACGCTGTGTGACCAGAGATGGGAGGAGTGAGTAATCAGGGACTGCACGCTGTGTGACCAGAGATGGGCGGAGTGAGTGATCAGTGACTGCACACTGTGTGACCAGAGATGGGAGGAGTGAGTAATCAGTGACTGCACGCTGTGTGACCAGAGATGGCCCGAACTATAGAGACCACAAGGAGTGGCGCCATCACCTTCATTCCCCTGCCGGCTCAGCTCAATGACGGACTTGTCCAGACACAGGTATCGGTGTATGTGGGCGGCGGCCTGCTCGTAGTCCTCATTCTTCAGGGCGGTCTGCACCCCGTCCATGCAGAACTTCAGGTCCAGGATGTCGTCTGCTCGCTGTATGGCTTGGTAGAGGCGGCTCTGTGGAGGAGGACACATGAGGAGAGGAGGAGCCCGGAGATCACATGCCGGTCCTTCCCGGGACTCCCAACTAAGTCACAGCTACTAATCCAAAGACATTACAGCCCCCCATGTGGGTCTCCTCCCCTCCGATGCCCCTCACCCGCCCTCTCAGCCCCCCATGTGGGTCTCCTCCCCTCCGATGCCCCTCACCCGCCCTCTCAGACACTACAGCCCCCCATGTGGGTCTCCTCCCCTCCGATGCCCCTCACCCACCCTCTCAGACATTACAGCCCACCATGTGGGTCTCCTCCCCTCCGATGCCCCTCACCCGCCCTCTCAGACATCACAGACCCCATGTGGGTCTCCTCCCCTCCGATGCCCCTCACCCACCCTCTCAGACATTACAGCCCCCCATGTGGGTCTCCTTCCCCCGGACGTACCTTGGCGAGGTCCAGCTGTCGGACTTTGCTGCTGACGTTCTCGGCCAGGTTACAGGTAAATGTAATCATCCCGGAAAGCTGCTGAGCGTCTCCCTCTATGAGCTGCAGGTTAGGCCTGGAAGGAGACACAGCGATTATCATGTCATCCTGTACACATGGGGATGTCCCTGGTGCTCTGTACATCTCTGTGGTCACCCATATGACACCTTGCAGGGGGCTAAATCGGATTTCCACAACAGAGACACCAGCATGGAACAAAGCCTGTAGTGTCACCTGCGACAACCAATCAGATTACAGCAATATAAAGGAGTACAGAACATAGCGCAGGGCCCTTTATATAGCGTTCTTCTTCACTTTGGCCACACCCACTGGTACTGACCCCATCCTCTGCAGCGCCAGCATCTTCTTCTCCACCGCCCCCTGCTGTCCGAGCAACACCTCCAGCTTCACCTCCACTTCTTTCTGCAAGAGACACACGTACAAGTCAGCAAAGAATAACTTTATGACCGGTCCTCCCAGTACCGGGCACATCCCATTACAGATACATGACCAGTCCTCCCAGTACCGGGCACATCCCATTATAGATACATGACTGGTGCTCCCCTTCCCCCACTGATTGATACAGGACTGGTACCCCCCTAGTGATTGATGCAGCACATGCCCCCCCAGTGATTGATACAGGACATGTCCCCCCCAGTGGTTGATACAGGACATGCCCCCACAGTGATTGATACCCCCTTGATACAGGGCAGGTCTCCCCCCTCCCCGTGATTGATACAGGACAGGCCCCTCCCCTCAGTGATTGATACAAAACAGGTCCCTCCCCCCAGTGATTGATATATGACAGGTCCTCCCCCGGTACGTCTATCGGTACCTCCTCAGCACACAGCCGCTCGTAGGCCTCCTCCAGCTCATGCAGGTCGGTCAGGGATCGGATCTGCTCCATAGTCAGTGAAGAGCTCCTGTCCCCCTGGTAACTGGCTGAGCTGGCCATGTTGACAGAACCCGTCACTTCCGGCCACAGGACCCTTCATCGTTCGTCACTTCCGGCTCTAGGGCACTTCCGGTTCTAGAGCGCCTTTACGCGACGTATTCTCCCCTTCATTTCCGGGGTCCTCAGGCACGGTGCGGGCTGTCCTTGTAGTGCCTGTACCGGGAAGGCAAAAGGAACGGCTCTCGGGATCCGGAGTGTGTCTTCGGTGAACGGCGGACCCGCAGCGAGTGGCGGTAAGAATCCGGGTAACAGGGCCAAGTGGGGTGTATTTGGGCAGGCGGAAGTTGAGCAGCTATCCGAGGGCCCCGGACTGCTTTGTGGCAGAGCGGCGCGAAATGGTGGCCGAGTGACACGGAATCGTATCCGGCCTGAATCTCCGCC